TATCCTCGGATTAATCTTGTCTTAGAAAACACCACCATCGTAGATATCCCGTGTTATCATGAGATAGATTGCCACGATCTCAAAATAATCAATAAACAACCTCATTGCATGAAAGATCCGCTAAAATCATACCCGATTTCAAAACAAGTTCTCGCACCGTTCAATCATATCACTATTAACAGCAGCATTACGATTCCGAACGATCGCGAAATCGTCAAACTGATCCAGTCTATCCGACAATTACGAGGTGGCTTTATAAAAAAATTCTCCGAAAAACCGACTAATAAAATGGATATACGTGACAGTATGACAATAACAATCGATATCGGTACGCTAATTATGACCTGTCTATCCCTGATGGGGATAATTGGATACCTTATCGCTGATAAAAGCAAGCGTAAAGCAAAACAGGCAAAAACACCCCCAACAGTACCGATCGCAACAATATTATCAGATAAAAAAGCATTTCTAGGCATAACACAAATGATCGATCAACAGCATTTGAGAGTCGTACCACCCTCATAAAACAATAGTCATATTTCGTTGTTCCATAAACTCGTTCTTTATTTGAAAATACGCATATTCATTAGACACACGTACACTGTTATTTTTCTCAAAAAATAGAAACAAACAACAAACATCAGTAAACAAAACTAAAAAATGACCAATATGGGCTCTTTGGTTCGAAGTCTAATGCGAGGTTTATTGTAGGTGCTCATTACCTATAAAGGACAAAACACGACTATATGAGTTTTACGTAATACATATTTGAGTGAAACGTACCTGGGGTTTTTTAGCAAGAGATTGTATCCACACCTATCGGAATAACATAAATCTAGACAATCGCCTACTCCTTTTACATAGTAAATTGTGTGGTTCCTCGTTTTCGAAAAAACAATCCTCGTGTTCTACATGACCTCATTCATACTGGACCACTGCGTCATGCTCACCAGACCAAACTATAGGATGGAAAAATGACGATATATGCTTATTGTCTCAGATACAAGTAAATGAAGATAACAGTAAAAATGAATATAAATAATGAATATAAATAAAAGGACCTTGAAAAACATGGCGTAATTCCTTTCTATATTCTGAAAAAGGAAAGAAAGAAATTACTAGATGAGAATGAAGTAAACATGTAAAAATAAGAATGGACAATACGAGCGATATTTCTTTTCTTTCTTTCTCAGAGGAATGTAACTGGAAACGAAACATATTATAAAACTATTGCGTGTGGCCTTATATTGATGATGATTAAGAAGAAAACACAAACGAGTGTTCGATGTCCGAGGACAAGGTGTTATAAGAGGGTGATGTAATATCATATGGCACTCTCAGCGTGTTTTTTGACCGTTTAGTCAAGGCTAATTTTCAGCGCAATTTACATGAACAATATCTACGATTCACTAATGATGTGGACTCCCCAATAGTGGCTCGTCAGATCGAGAGAAAAACCAAATCGAAAGACATTGCACTAAACATAAAATTCATCAACAAACAACTTTTATACTATCACAAAATAATACAAATGCAAGCCAACCACATTAACGCCGTCTATGAAGCATGGCGCGATGATAAAGATGGACTATGGGATACACGACAACTTGAAAAATGGACTGACATAAAATTAGTGCAAAAAACAAAATGTATGGCCTATATCACAGAAACAAAAACATGGCAGGCTACACTCAAAAGACGAGTAGCTATATTAGAGTAAGACCAGATATTAGGTAAAGCAGCGAGAAATATCGACAAGGACATTTCTGTACAAATACAAAGTGAGTTCTGTACGATAAAAAGTAACCTTGAGATCTGTTCTAGGAAATTTATCGCAATGAGATCAATGGATGCCCGTATTCCCACGGACTTCCCATTACCAATATTGGCACATTTTGATGTTACAATACCAATTATGCCCACTTTAAACAAACCGGACATAAAACGTTTTGAAGATGAATTCAAACAAATTTATGGAGATGCTAAACTGAAAATGCACGCTTTGATCTATGAAAAAGTGGCGTTTGAACTCGAATTTTTAGCAGAAGCACAAAAAACAAGTTTTGCAAAACTAGAAAATTGCGAACCCAGTACGCTCGAACATATTAGAACGTTCACGGACGTGTTTTTAAGAAGAGAAAACAAAGTGCAATTTTTAAAAGATTATCGCGAATCGATGGACGAAGAAGACGAATTATTGGATGTATCAACAATCCTCGATCTATTCTAATCAACGCATCGTACCCACCACTCGTCCGAAATCAAGCTTTAGATTTGGACGAGAAAGAGGTGAATTTTCTTAGCTTAGGATCTAAATTTGTACCTATTAATTATAGAATAGGAGCACAACGGATGGACAATGAAATCGCCGATATGATTGAAAAATTTAAAGATATCTGTCTGTTTTGCACATCATCTATCACCACAATCACATTTGGCACAATTATTCATTGATGGTGCTACGAAACTCTGCAGATCATATCATACGATTTCGCTCCCGGAGTCACAACAATTAGATATTATACGTTCGTTAAACCGAAAACTGAGAA